CTATCCTGTTAGGTTTACTGTAAAAACATCTGTGAAGATTATGAATTGGACTTTATTACGAGCCTTTTTTTATGCCTTTATTTTGGTTCCAGTAGAAATGATAACTAAACCTTATTGGAAAAGGGACCCAGAACTATAATTTTAAATACAGCTTTATGTCAGCTTATAACAGAGTCCCCATAGCTGTTAGAGACTTTCTTACTACTGACAAAATAACACTTTGCAAAACAGAAGATGAAATCTAAAATTTTATTCACAGCATGTAACAAAGTAATTGTACAATTATTATGTACCAATTGATGTCAGTGCACTGTAATTTTGGTGACATAAACAGTGTCTCTGACATATTATTTAAAAAAGAAAAAATGTTTACAAATAAATATATAATTTTTAACAAAGTCTATTTAGATAAACTAAATTCTAGAGTGACAGATACATATTGACCAATGCCAACCCCTCACTCAGGAACGTTCATTAACTATTTTATTCCTCTCTAAGATTCCAAATTGCAGAGAATACTGTGCAGTACTGGATACCTTAACTCTTAAGGTAACTTTAAAACACAGGGAAAATCATGTGCTGTGTCTCTACCCCCTCTCCCCAATCCACAAATCTTAAAATAAATTTTAAGAATTTATTATCATGTTTTCAAATCCTGGGTATAGCTTATCCTGACATATTTGATTTCGAGAGTGAACTACCCACCTAATATCAGTTTTAGCTACTGAGTCAATACTTGTCAATACAATGACAAGTCAATACTAGTCAATTGTTTAGTCAAATGGCTCAAACCTCAGACTCAGGACCCCAGGGCGGAATTTAAGCTCTTGTACTCGGTAAGTATTTGGACCATAAGTAACCTAAGTTCCAGTGTCCTCATCTGTAAAATGGGGTAACAGTATTGCTTTTTCGTAGGGGCTTAGAGACATAAAAGTGTGTCAAATGCTGGGTATGGTGACAGTTGTATGAAGTGCTCGATGTTAGTTATTATCATAGTCATATGTAGTCTAGCAGAAAGCATTTGATTTTGATTTTGTACTAGCATCCTCAACAACACGGATTCAGTGGCTAATCATTAGCACGAAACGTAATGAATCTAGTTTTGGTTAAACTGATTTTTTTCCCCCAAGGTTTTTGGCTTAAGGAGAGAGAGGTCAAAAGAATTCTTAATATTAAAGCTAAGTTGGTGCCAGTTTGCAGTAACAGCTCATTCATGGACTTTTTTTTTTTTTAAATACAATTTGCTTTGATTTGGTTTGGTTCATGCATTTTTAAAAATCTTCCTTGTGGTGTGCAGTCATTAGGCTTTTATGCCTAAAGAACTGAATTCAGTTATAAGTAAAATTCATTTAATAGCGCGAGTATGATTCCATGTGGTTATTTATTCACAACATAAAATAGCCACATAATTCAACATATTTAATAGTGTCTGCTCATGGAACTGTGGGGAATTCTGCAGATCTTAGGCAGGAAATGCTTAAGTTATAAGAGGCAGTATCCATAATGCTCATTATTCCTGATATCATCAATATGGCAAACCATAGTAGGTGAAATAGAAGTTTAATGTGTGCCTTATTCTATATCTCCATAGAAGTCTTCAGTAGACTCCTTTATTTACAAGATGGCAGTGATTTAATGTATGGATGGGGGCGGCCACAAAACTTTGTGTCTTTTTTTTTTGGGAAGGATATATGTGGAAACCATCCTTTACTTTTCAGCGATAGAAACTGTTTAAAACCACATTTCTCCCTCTTCCCCATGGGCTGCTGCTGCTGCTGCTGCTCAGCTGTGTTCAAAGTAAGCCCTTGATTATTCTCAAGGGATACTGTCATTGTGCAATTTGGAAATAATTAGTTTTGTACTCAGAAAAGGTAGAACTAGATATATACGTAGAATATTCCGATGTAGTCTATATACTAATATATATATAGTCTATGTATTTACCTAGCCTGTATCTGATATGTATAAATGGGCATTGCTCAATTAGCATTTTAAATTGGAATTTTAATAAATGCTATCCATCAGTGACCAATTTACATAGCATTTATCTGGGGAAATGAGTATGCCAAATATCAGTCTTCTTGAAATTCATCCTGACCCAACCAGTGATTTAAGATTCTAAAACCTCTCATTCTCCCCAGTAGAGTGTTTGCCTTTCTGTCCTCTAATGTTCTAATTCAAATCCATATCTGCTAATGTGCATCATCGAAAATCCAGGGGTACGTATCTGAAACATGGACAAGAGACCCGCAGGTCCTGAAGAATTCCAACTGTGCAGTATTTTACATATTTCATTCTTCTAAGGGTAATATCGAACAACACCCTCTTTCATATTCCGGCGTAAGTAGTTATATAAGCGTTTATTTGCAATTATTTCAGGCAACACCCCTCACCACCACCACCAGAAGAGTCACATGCCTCACAGTGATCTGTGAAATGATGATGCTCAAAATATTATGACTTAGGAAGATATTTGCTTAAGAGCTTAGAAGTCTTTTTGGTGCCCCACAAAATATCTATTGTTCTATTTTTTGACCCAATTTTCCTAAAGCGAGTTTCAAAACCCTGAAATAACTTTGAAATTCAGACTGTGTCAGAGACATGTTTAAATACTATCTGGGATATCTTACTAATGTCCTAATTAAAGGGTGAACATATTGACCAGGGAAGAACAGACAGGATGGTTGTGATAATCGTGTTGTAGCAGGATGCTCGTGAGTCAGGATTTTAGAGGAGCCATTATTACCGAAAGAAAAGAACACTACAGGGTAGAGACTTTGCTCACACGTTGGGTAACACCAGACATTTCCATGTCTGATGATGGATGTGTTAGATGGTAATGAAAACAGAGAAGGAAAAGTAACCACCCAGAGGCAGTTGAGCTGTATTCCCCTCACTGTGGAGCAGTAGATGTAAGAAGTGTGACAAGTCAAGGTGAAAGGAGTATCCTAAGGAGGGAAAAAGAAATGACTGGTTCTGAATCACAGATTGAGGTAAGGATACCTTCCTTACGGATTCTCATCGATATCTGGAGAACACTGATCCTTTCTTAAAGTATTAATTTTTTGGTGCAAGTCCGGATTTAGGAGGCAGTTCGTTCGAATGTGGAATGACAGCTCATAATATTAAAAAAAAAATGTGCTGATTGCTATCAATATTGCAAGGTAAAGTGCCACTTGTTTTCTTTGTGTCTTTTTTTTTTTTTTTAATACTTGGAAGGGTGAAAAAAAAAATACTTGGAGGGGTTTGGAGGAATTGTAAGGCAACACGCTGAATCCCCCAACTCCCGAACCACACAGTCATTCAAGTCTCAGTTTAATGGAGGAGGAAGCTGAGGGGGATGGAATGTTCTAGAAAAAAAAAGAAAGAAAAATTAAAAGCAGGAGGGACGCTGGACTGGAGGCCATACAGGAATGATGATAAAAGTGGCTCTGGAGTGGGGACGGGGGGTGTGTGGGGGTTAATTTTAAAATAAAAACGTGAGCGCTGCAGATACCCAAGCCCGGCTTTCCTTTGCAAGTCGCGCTCCTCGGGACCGGCCCGGCGCGGCGGCGACCCCAGGTCAGGGCGGTGCAGCCCGGCGCGGCGCGGCGCGGAGTTGGCTCGGGGCCGCGGAGCTCAGGCCAGCCCCGGGGACCGTCCCCCCGCGCCCGTGCGCCGCCGGCTCGCTCCCCGGCCCGCTCCCCGGCCTTCCCGCGGGTCCCGCGGCGCAGCCCCGGCCTCCCGGGGCACTGGGGGCGATCCCCGGGGCCGGGGGCACGGGGGGCGGGCGGCGGGGGGGGCGGCACCGAGCCCCGGGGGTCCCCCCGCCCGCGCCCCGGGGCACCCACCTCTCCGGAGCGGCGCGTCCTGCGAGCGGCCGAGCGGCCCCGCGCTCCGGGTCGGCTTAAGTGAAGCGCGCAGCGGGCGATGCCCGAACGGCGGCGGCTCGGGGGTCGGCGTTCGCTCTCGGGCTGGGAGAGGGCGGCGGGGGGCGGGGGGCGGGCGGGGGAGGGGGAGGGGGAGGGGGTCTTTGTGAGCGCGGCAAAGTAGTGCTGCTGGAGGAAAGCTATCCTGGAAAATCCGCAGCAACCCGAAACCCCACATTAGGGACTACTGATGTTTTATGGCCTGTGCGTGTGTGTGCATGCGAGTGCATGCGTGTGCAAGCCTGTGCGTGCGTGCGTGTGTGTGCGTGTGTCTGGAATACCGCCTCTCGGGGGCCTCAAGGCATGCCTGTAACCAGTTTTTGGTGCAGTTTTCCCACTCTTGGTTTGGGGCACGGCTGTTAAAACGCCCCGGCCGGTGTGCGCGCGCGAGCGTGTGTCCGTGGGTGGGAGCCCGTGCATGTGTGCGTGCCTGCATGTGTGTCCGTGCGTGTGTGCGCGCGTGTGCATGCGCGCGTGTGTCCGTGCATGTGTGTATGTGCGTGTGCATGTATGTGTGCGTGCATGTGTGCATGTATGTGTACCCGCGCGTGTGCATGTATGTGTGCGTGCATGCGTGTCCGTGCGTGTGTGCACGTGTGCATGTATGTATGTGTGCATGTATGTGTGTCCGTGCACGTGTGCGTGCATGTATGTGCGCCCGCGCGTGTGCATGTGTGTGCCCGTGTGTCCGTGCCCGTGTGTCCGTGCCCGTGTGTCCGTGCCCGTGTGCGTGCATGTATGTGCGCCCGCGCGTGTGCATGCATGTGCGCGCGCTGTGTGCCCGTGCGGGTGTGTGCCCGCGTGTCCGCGCGTGTGTGTCCGTGCATGCGTGTGCGCGCGCGCGTGTGCCGGTGCGTGTGTGTGCGAGCCCGCGGGTGGGAGGAGGGGTCAGACGGCGGCGCCCCGCCCGGCCCGGCCCGGCCCGGCCCGGCCCGGCCCGGCCCGGCCCGGCGCGAAGGGGTTAAGCGGCGCCGCCGCCCCCTCGGCGGCCGCGTGTAAACAGAGGAGCCTCAGCCTATCATGTCTGGCTGCCGCCCGCAGCCGGAGCCCCGCGCCCGGCGCTGTAACATGATACGCTCCCGACCGCGGCAACTTGGCAGCGCCGGGCTCGGCTCCGCACGGCCACAGCGAGGGCGCGCCGCGGCGAGGTGGGTGAGCGGCGGCCGGGCGCTCGGGCGCGGCGGGGTGGCCCGCGGGGGCGGCGGGGGCGGTGCGGGCGGCGGGTCGGGGGCGGCGGGTCGGGGGCGCGGCCGGCGGGGACCGGGCGGCGGGGACCGGGCGGCGGGGACCGGGCGGCGGGGACGGGGACGGGGACGGGCGCCCCGGAGCTGTCGGAGGGAGGCGGCTCCGGGCCGGGCGCGCTGCAGCGGCGGCTTCGGCGTCTGAGACGCGGCGGCTCTTCCCCGCGCGGGGCCGACCCCGGGGGGGCCGCGGCGGGAAGGGCCGGGGAGCCCGGGGGACGGCGCCGCCTTTTGTTCCCGGTTCTTTTTAATTGGGTGGAAATTTCTCCTTCTCTTTTCTTTTTTTTAAAAAACCTGGTTAAGGAGACAGCCCCGGTCCGTGGTGGGTGCAGAGCTGGCCCTTCCCCGCATTCTGGGACCTTTGCCGCGAGCCGCGTGGAGCCCGGGGAGCAGATGCGCGCCGCGGCGGTGCTGCTCGCGGGCGCCCGGGACGCGGCTCGAGCCCCGCGAGGCGCTCACCCTGCCCAGCGCTTCGGGTGCACCAAGCACGACCCATCCTTCTGATGGCTTAGTGGGGAGAGAGCGGTTTTTCTCTTGCAGAATACTTAGTGTGTGATTTTTTTTTAATTTGTTTCCTTTTTTGGGCCAGGAGAGGTTTTTTTTTTTTTTTTTTTTTTTTTTTTTTACAAAAAAAAAAAAAAGCAGAGTCTCCAAAAGAAATCCAACTTTGCCGTTGTGCTTCCAAGCAGGTTACTCCTGGAGAACTAGTCGAGGGGGCTGGTGGAGGGGTGACTGGGAGAGACCTGGGCACTGCCTCATTAACTTAAAAGATCATTTTGCCTTTTCTGTGCGTGTTTGCATGAAATACAACAAAGCTCTGTGGCCGCTCTCAGGACGAGAAGTCACGTTTCCTCCCCTTCTGTGGCTGGCGTCCCTATCTCTCTGGAATATCTCAGAAGGGATGTGTACAGAATATATGTGCCTGTGTCACAAAGTCACTCTGTCTTCCCAGAGCCTAATATAATCAAATTCAGTGCCTTAAGATGGTGTAGTTGAAGATTTGATCCCTTTCCACTGAAGTGGAAATACTTTCAGTAATTGAAAGCAGATTCACGTCTGGAGTTGTACAAGCCAAGGTTTTCATTTTTAAAATAAACCTTTTGTTCTCTGCTTTTAAATGTTTCAGAGCTTCATCCAGAGACCTCTGTGTGTTAATTGTGAAAGTAGTCCTCAAGAAGGGACATTCTAGAAACACGGCTAACTTAGTAAGCCTCCCTCTCAGTGGGAGAATGTTTTAGTGCAGCATTTACTGTCTGTGCCACACATTCTGGTTTTTTTTTTTTTTTTCTTTTTCTTTTCTTTTCTTTTCTTCCCCCAGCAGATTCCCCGGGCATTAAAATGCAACCGTACTCTTCAAAACCCTCAGGCCCCAAGCAATGTCCATCAGTCTTAAGAGGTTAAAAAACTTGGGAAATTTGGGTGTCACTCCTTTTCTACTGTGATATACACAACCGGGCGATAAATTTGACATCAAGGATAAAATATGTTTCATATAGAGAGATGCTGGTGATAGATTAACCGATAGGCTGAAACTTTAAAAACATGATTTCAGATTGCTAACCTGGTTTCTCTCTTGTCTTCCGAGGCTCAGTGTTAAAAGCTTTAAAAAATTGGCCGTTGAAGACTGAAATTAGGGTGCATTCTAGACAAAGAGGGAGTCACTTGATGTCTTTCTTACTAGCTGTGAACACAGACAGGAATGGTGATATGTGGAGAGTGTCACCTTCCTTCTCCAGCACGTGAAGTCTAAAATGGATTGTGTGATCAGGGGGAGAAAGTTAGGAGAGTTGTACTTTTAACAACGATGGCTGAGATCAGAGAAAAATAGAAGGGAAGGTTCCAAATGTTTTTTAATTACTAGTTCCTTGAACCTGTTGTGCTGATCATCAATAAGACGTGAGTGGATGCATTTACAGTGTAACATGGGAGTGCGATTTCCTAAAACCTACTCGGTAGCTTTTTGTTTTACCTTCCGTCCTTGTTTTCCTGATAGTTGATCGTTTGAGCGTGTTAAAATAAACATAAAGTGAGTAACCTGGTCATAATTTAGATGATATGCTTGTTAACATTTCTCATGTACAAGTCCCCTTTTATGAAATCAATATTTAAGACAATTCTGCAAGTCTTTAAGGACCCCATAAAATCTGATTACATGTTGGCGGTGTCGCGTCACATTTCTTAGAGATCCGTGGCCTAATGTGTGGCATCATAGAAATTAATTCCCCTTAAAGACTTAGGAAAATAAAAGTGACTTACTATGGACTCCTCCAGATGTCTGAATGCTGGTTTTCAGTGTAAGATCCTTGTCTAAACATTTAAACTAACCTTCTCTGTGACTTCTATTTACTATTAGTTTTTATGTCCTTATCTTTTTTTTTTTTTTTTCCCTACTTGGAACGAGAGTGCACAGGATCTCCTGTCATCTGAAATAATACATTCACTTAATCACGGGACTCCTTTCTTTCATAACGTAGGAAAAGTGGCAAAGGAGGCACTGTCTAAAATACGGTGATCTTGATAATTAATGCCATAAAATAGATTAAAATGCTGTATTCCAGGTATTCATTTCCTTAAAAGGGCCACCAGAATAGCGTTGCTAAGCACCCGTCACTACCGCAAGTAACAGAAAATGACCCAAATTAAAGAACCTGTTCTGCGCTGTATTCTTGCATTTTCTAAAGTGCATTTCAAAAGGTTTAACAAGACTCATTCAATTAGTGGAGAAAAAAAGATCTATTTTCAGCTCTGATCAGCAATTAAGAGATTGGGCTTTGGAACATCAGTCTCTTTATGTTTAGAATTTATTTTGTTTTCTGGGCTTTAAACAATTGTGAAATAAAGATTTTTAACCAAATCCCTTTCTAACAATCCAGAGGCGAAAGCCAAATATAGGACCTTATATTTGTTTTAAATATTTCCCTGAATGAGTAATTTTTTATTAACTGTTCCTCATGTTAAAAAGTTTAAATTTTACACTAATATGGTGTATGACTTGCCCTACTATGGATTTCTTACTCTCTCTGCAAATGCGTGTATGTATCTGTGCATACCTACGTGCACAGGCAGTTTAAAGCATTGGCTGAAGTTATTATTATTATTATTACTCTGTCGTATTCTGGATGTGAGTGCTTTCGTTAAGTCAAACTCTTGAGAAACAGGGTCTTCTTCCGTTAGGGTGTTTGGGTGTTGTGAATTTGGTATCATGAGGGAGATCGAGTTGATATGTCCAAGTGAAAAAGTTAGTGATTGCAGGCAGAAGTTTGTTTGTTGACTGTCACGTAAGCTGTTCTCTTCTGGGTTAGATCAGAACTTCTACATAGTTTTGGCTAAAAACCCATGTCCCAACCGTGAAAGTGTTTAGAATTAGATCTTCCAGTGCCCTGGTTTTTAGCAAATCTGAACAGCAGTCACAAATAAAGGTGGTGGAACTTGCAGGCGGGGAGGGAGAAAGGAATGGAAGGATGGGGAGGTTAGAAGAGGAGGAGAAAGAAGCAAGGAGGTTAAGATTCCCAGAGTTTTCGATGAGGATTATTAGCAAGATTTTGCTGTATCACATGGATCTGAAAGAGTCTAAAGCATGTAAGTATAGATGTGAAGTTATCAATCCTGAGTGCTGCTTTGGCCACAATCACATTGAAGAGAGTCTATATCCTCCAATTGTGAATATTTTAAAGCCAAAATAACACTTAATTCTTTCTTTAAATAAGGTATTTCACTTTAGTAATTCTTTATATTTGCACTTACCAGATTGGTTGGCATTGCAGATTTCTCTAATAAACAATACAGAATAAATGAAATTAATAGGACTCTGGTAATAGTTTTGTCTAAAAATAGAAGTTACTGTGAATACTCAGTCATGTCTAAGGCCTTTTAACCTGTGTGAGTTTAGGTGTTGGGAATGTATCGTTTTTCGACGTGTCAAAAAAAAAATTTTCCCCGTAGAGAATATTAATGGGATATGTACCAGGTATTTGATTATTATATATGTTTTCAGTGGATTTGAAATGGTCTATATTTCAATATGTAAGAAACCGGTTGTTTTAAAATGTATAGGTAGATTTTAGTTACAAACTCACCTGTTCTGTTACAGATCCTATGTGTTCAAGTTCTGAAATATTTGCTCTTAATTTTTACTACAGTGGGGTGAGAATAACCACCTCTTCGGTATCCCAGAAATAGTTTATGGCACGCGTGTACCGACGATAAATTCATTTCACAAGGGAAGGATCAAAATTGAAACGTACACGCAGATATTTGAGCGTACATCACATCTAAATAATAGCAAGATTTGGGGAACCATGTACTACAGGATTGAAAGGAAAAAGTTCCTCTCAAGAGTTATTTTCCTCTCTTAACATTAAATACTGTTTCACGTAAATATCTTGTTTTGTACATTTACGAGGCAAAGTGGATTATAGAGGATACCAGAATGGCTAATATAGAACTAATATCAAAAAGCGCTTCAGTTTATTTAAATATATATTATAAATTAAATGTATATTATATATATTATATATAGATATCTATCTATATATGTGTATCAGCCTAGAATATTCTAAGTTAAAATGACATGTGGGAGTTTTCATGAATTTTTTTCACGTAAGTTTCTGCACGTTACCTTTTCTCTGTAGTCTTCAACTGTTTCCTGCAGACAGAGAGAGAGAACCTGCTATCTAGACACCTGTAAAATGTAGCCTGGAACTCTTTTTATGCTTTTTCTTTTAAATAAAACAGAATTACCTTATATAACAAATTTAACATTGTTAACCTTTTATAATTATTTAACCATTATTTCATTTTACCTCCTGCTTAAAAGTTGTACATTAGTGGGATAGACACCTGGCTGTGCTCTTAAAAGTTTATTTGTCTTTCAATTCCTGTGATAGTAGGGGGCAGTCCATCTCCTT